TCACGCCACGATGTCGTTAGCCTTGCTCTTGAGTGACATGGCCGATTTTTTTACACCATGGGACATGCGTACAGAATACATAACTCGTAAATTTACTTAAACTAAGAAACCAACTGTACCGCGTTCTTGAAGGCTTTGAACATTAGAGCAACCTCAACCTCCTGACTTAATGGCTGACAATTTATTCCTAATCTCCAGAATTGCTTGATTAATCAGGAGTGGCAAAGAGAGAAAGAGAAATTTAAGAAAGGCTCAAATATGCTACTATTTTGAAAAGAAGGCAATTCTCAATACTGTAAAGTGAGTTCCTAGATGAAAGTAATGCTGTAAGATTTTAGGTGAATGTGGTTGGGTTCTCTATCGGAAAGAAACTGTGAAAATTGGAACTGATAAAGAGGATTAAGCAGATGATAAGCCGGGCCAGGTATTTGCGGATTAGGTGCTGTGAGACATCAACAATCGATCCAAAAGAGCGCGGAAGGTTTGATTCTGATTACCTTTACCGAATACGTGGTCTACTCGTGGTTACCTTGCTCTTACTCTTGATTTCAAGGATAGGTAATTCTGAAAACCGGCAGATTCAGTTGCCAACATGACCACACAAACTGTTTTTTTTTTCAGAGGGGAATCCACTGAAAAGCTGGCGGCATCTTTGGAGCCTCCTTTAGCTTCATTAATCCCGAAATGATGGTGTAACTAACGAGACACTTGACCATTCGTTTGTTATGACGTCGGTGCCGAAAACGTGAAGTGGATTATCCCCGACACGTCCACTGCATCCCGCTGTGGGGACGAAGGATACGCAAAAGGTGCTACCGTAACACAAGAAATTTCGTATTTACAAGATTTATCAATATGTGAATATAAGTACAGTAAGATATGGCAGTACCCGTAGATGAACAACATCACAGAAAACATACCCGAAAATCAATATATCGACCGCAGCTCTGGGGCACGGTGAGAAAACAAAATCTCAAAATCAAGTAAAACACATGTTGGAGCAACTTCGTAGTTAGAAAATTTTTCAAATGAGCAGCAACGTACTCGTAATTCCTCTGAGAAGGCAATGCAAATTGACTAGAATCATTCACCACGATAAAGAGCTCCTGGTTGGGATATGGTAGGTGGTACTGGTCCCTACCACGCAAACGATCGATTGATTTGTCGAAAGAATTTATGATTCTCGCTTTCGTAAAATCGCTTCAACCTCCTGAGGACATCCTGTCGTATAGCCGGATGCTTCCTGCCTTTCGTTTTGCCAAGACAGTGCAGGCTGCCATCGGATCGGCGAATGCATGGAAATTTCTTGACTGGGTCGACCCCAAAATTTTCTGGTTTTGTGACTGAAAATTAAGCATTTTGTACCGACACCTTGTCGATTGAATGTGAATCCTCACCTGGCTCAAGTCCTAAAAAACGTTCGGTTCGGCTGACTTCCAGTGCGGGCTGTGCGACTAATCGCTCTCCATCTACAATGTGGATCTGGTCCATGGGGAAGTTGTCCAGCCATCTTTTCATGTGCTTGTGGTAGACTCCTATCCGTATAGCACCCCATCCAACGTTGACGCCACCAACTTTCAAAGAGCAGTTCGTTCGAAGCCACGGAGCACAATCGCCAACGGCCATTTCTTCAAAAGTTGGCATCATGCCATGCGCTTTTCTCTTCGAAAAAGCCT